CTCCTATCAGCAGTCTCTACCTAGTCTTCCTGTCAAGTCTGAGAGAAAAACGGTTGTGGTTTTAACGAAAGCATGTTTTTTGAGCTAAAAGGAGATCATAATAAAATAGCCCACAATTTGAGCAAGAATTATTTAAAATAATGCAATGTTATACTTTTACCTAGCACCTATCCTTGTCCCTGTTCTTCCAAACACATAAAACATTTCTCTACAAAGCTTGTCAACTTTTCAGCTTTTTCCCTTGATATATTCTTTATCTGGTCACATAAAGAAGACAAACAAAACTACAATGCAATTTAAAATAAATTGCAACTTTATTAAGTCAACTCAGATAGGAGAGACTTGGAAGTTGGTGAAAGTCAGAGTATAATTTTTCTTTTGTCCTAAATCTTCCTGCCAGCTGATAGAATGAGCACTCACAGAGGATAACAACATTTTGGAGTGCATCACTGTTCACTGCAGAAGAAATTGCAGGCACTTTTATCACAGAAGCCTATGTCTTTTGTAAAAGGAAGTCCTACTTTATAAACCCTGGGCTCCTCAAAGGTATCAAAAGTATTCGGGTAAGGGTGATCTGGGTTGCTTCTGATTCCAAAAGGCTACTGGCAAAGACCCCCACTAACAACATTTAAGGAAAATAGACAGCCACTGGAGAAGAGTCCTGACATGGCTAAATAATGTAACAAAAGAGTAGTACTAGATGGTCAGTTCTCACAACGGAGGGAGTTAATCAGTGGAGTTCCCCTGGGATTGGTTCTGTTCAGCATGTTTACAAGAGATGAGCACTGAGGTGGCAAAGTTTGCTGATGTTAGGAAGTTATTCAAGATGGTAAGGAAAAGAGACTGAAGAATTGCAGGAGGATGAAACTGAGTAACTGGACAATAAAATGACAGACAAAATTCACTGTGACTAAATGCAAAGTGCACAACAGGAAAAATAATTCTGACTTGATAAAGAAAATTAAGGTCTCCAAACTGACCATCACTAGAAAGCTCCTGATGTTGCGACAGACAGTGTCATGAAAATATTAGCTCAGTTTTCAACTGCAGTCAAAAAGGCAAATTGGTTAGGCATTTTTAAAAGCATACCAGAAAGTATAATTATTCCACAATATATATCTAACATTTATGCACACTTTGAATGCATTACTGATCACCCTCACCTGAAAATGAGTAGATTGAAACTGGAACAGCTATAGAACAGGGTAAGTTTCATTAGAGATATGGAATGGTTTCCACTTCAGTTGAGTCTTATGTGACAGACAAATTCACAATGGGCATGAATAGTCAGACCATTAGTTGTTTCTTCCCACACAGACATAAAGTGATTAAACTAAGAGAGGAGGAACCAGGAGCCTTTTCTTCCTAACCAAAAAGCCAGAAATGTTCCTTTTTGCAGCTTCCTCCTTACCAATAGATGTTGTAATGCAAGTGTTACATGATGAGACTGGAAAAATAGAAAAGGATTTATTTAGGGTTGCTAAGCTGACAAACACAAGTTAAAGAAATAAGGAACACTACAATCTGTTACCCTCTTAGAAGAGGAACTGCCACTTTTGGTCTTCTGGTCATACATTCTTGATGTGGGTTCTAATTTGATTATACAATGAACAAACTGCACATGATACATTACTACTAATCAAATCAAATAACGCCACAAGCATTTCTCCCACTGACTTGAAGTTACATGTACTAGTTTACTGTCTTATATGGAATATAATCTCTGAGGCAACTCTTAGCAAAACAATGAATTGTCCACAGCTAAAACTCACAGGTGCCAGATCAGCAATAAGTATACAAATTTTGTTCTTAACAGATTTGGTCTTCTCAGACAAGGGAATATTATGGAAGAACAAAGTCCCTGGTACGTAAGACAGATAGAGTCCATTAATCTTTAGAATATACTGCAGGCCTTCCTCTTGCTTGTGCATTTCCATAATTACATTTGTAATAACAAAAATTTGTCCAAATTCTACCATGTGAACCCCTCCTTCAAGAAGATTTCCACCTTTTATAAAGAGAAGGAAAAGAGTAGAGATTCCTTGACTTTGTTATTGATAATTTAATAATTGGTGGACATGATCAAAACAATTATAACAAACCAATAACAGTTAATAGTGCAGACTGTTGTCAGGATAAATAATGTGTTGTTATGGGGTAAATAACATGATTAATGGATAAAACAGTGAAAAAAAAGTCAAAGCCATACATAGTATTAATAATTCACCTTACTATGGCAAGTCATTATTAGTAACTTGGTTGCATAACTGTAGCTATTTCCAGTAAGTGTAAGCAAGAAATTCTGAACATACTCATGGAAGCTAAAATAAAATAGAGTTGTATAGCAACTGCTGAAGTAAATTGTTTACTAAATGTCTATTATAACATTATAATACATAACAAGACAAACTGCCAGTTTGGCTTACATTACTGTACTTTTAAACAATAATCAAGAGTTGGCAGAGAGCAAGATAAGCATTCATTTACTGCATTTTGTATAAATCTAACTAAACAAATGTATGGTAGGTTGTCCTAACTTCTCTTGGCTGATATTGGATTGTTCCTGTTTGCACCATAGAATATTTGGCATATTTTCCAAGTCTAGACTTAAATATTAGGAGCAGTCATTCACTGACCCTCATACTGATAATTTCTACTCCACATGCAAGGAAAAGAGTACAAGACCCCATGAGTGATAAAGGTGCACTGAGAAGAGTCTATTCTGAATTATCTTTTCTATGGAAAGAACTTTGTAACTTTGCACTGAATACTGTCCAAAAGTTGCAAGACCCAGACACTGTGTAAATGAGAAGTTGTAGGGGAAGTGAATGAGGGTTATAGTCATATTTCAGATTTTAAATCAGCCTTTTAGTTTCTTCAAGCCCTAAAGAAGTGAGCAAATAACTTTCTTACTGCCTTGATCACATGTCACTACTGAATCTGAAGGACTGATCCATCCATTCATCCTTCTCAAATAACTAACCAAAGCATAACCCTAATTTTGACTGGAGAAATCAATTATTAATGTGTATAGAGAAAGGCAGGGTGATAATTATTTTGGGGATTAGGGAGTCATTTGAATACTTATTTTATAAAACTTTACACTGTTACAAAAACTCTACAAAAGCCTTAAAAAGGTAAAATTAAAAATCAAATGATGTTTATTATAAAGAGCTTTATGTGTTGATACAGTACTTCACTTTATTTTGTAATTTAATTATTTTATTTATGCAAATAAGGCCCCAAATGCTCTTGCACTGAAGAAGTTAAACACTTGACATTTTTATTCCTTAAGATGCAACATTTTATGATGTCTAGATATGTTTATTAATTAGTGATTATTAACACCCAGTAAACAACATCATGTCTTGTAAAAACACAATCTTTCTTCCCAGCGTGAGGCTGAAATCTATTATTCACTGATTCCATATGCTGAAATACACTCAAATGATCACAAATGACCTTAAGCATTAGATAAATGTAAATGAGGACAGGGTAGCAAATGTGCTTTTGATTGATATCTAAAAGACCAGGTTTGAAGTCTTGACAAGGGATGAAATCTGAAATCTCATGCAAAGTAGACAGCAATTGGAAATCTACAAAATCTAAGCTTCTGGATGGACGTGCCCCACAGTCTCTCCCCAGCAGGGATGACTGTCTGAGGATGCTCACAAGAAGCTTTCAGTACATGGAACCTTAAAGACCATTCCTGGGGCCTGTGTGGCCTTTGTCTACTTGGCAGGCACTTATTAGGATGCAGAGATAAAACTCTAAGTTATATGCATGTACACCCTAATGAAGGCAGAATTTTTCTAACTCTAAGTGCTCACTTAAAAGAACTTCTCTACGAAGAATGGCTACATAAACATAGGGATAAACGATGTGAACGATAGCCATTAAAATTGTATGGGTTTAGCCCTCTATGTTAATAAGCTTATTCTGCTGTAACAGCTTGTCTTTCTCAGCCCTTTTTCAGCTTCACTTTTGTCACTTTGAGGACTGAGGGCCCTCATGGAATTAGAATCATCAAAAAAAGAGAAAATTTAGACACACAAATAAGAAGGCAGTATTGGCTCTTACCATAGCCGTCTCTAAGTACATTGTAATTCTCAATCCTGTAGCATCTATATGAAATACTTTACAATTTACTTTTAAAAAACTACAAGATATTAATACACCTCAAATCTTCAGCTGCTTCCAGTCCCTACTGTAGCTGGAGATGCCTCAATTAAGCAGTTAAACAGCTAACCTCGGTGGCACCACACATTACAGGGTGGGTCAGGAAGGGCTCTGGAAACAATCTGAAACCAAATTCTCTGAACTTCTACAATGCTCACCCTCCAGAGCATGCCTTCAGGGCTAACTCAGAGACAAAAGAACTGGTGCACTATGACAAAAATGCTCAGTGTGCCCTGCAACTTAGGACACAGTTAAAGAGAGAAGGGCCCCAGCATGCTGTGCCTGGCTCCCATGCTGCCCATCCATCCTTGCAGTGACAACGCTATTCTGACGGCACAGACAGGACAGCCAAAAAAACCTCCTATGGATGCTCCAGCAACATCTACCTGAAGGGCAAATGGGATTTGTTGCCACCCTGAATTCTCAGAGCTATATAAATTTAAACCTGCCAGTGATTTAGGCACATTTATTCCAAGCCTCATATTCAGTACAAAGGATTCTGAAGCAGTCAAATTTCAACCATGCACTAAACCACAGCTTGCAGGGACATACTGTATGTCATATAAAAGGAAAAGAAGGTTCTGCCATCAAGATTAATCATACTGTATTTTCCAGGTTAAAAAGCAATTAATTTTTTTTTAATAGTTTCAATTTTCTGTACAGCATCACTTAAATTGTGATCCATCTACTTATATTGTACATACATCTGTGTCAGCATCAGTAATATACATTGCACTTTCACACTTTTGCATACATTTCATGTTTGCATTAAATATACAATTATATGCCAGAATCTGTAAAAAAGTTTAGTAGAATCTTACCAGCTTGACACTTTCTGAGCCTTAAACACACCCGCATTTTGGTTTCGCGTGATGATGTCATTTACATCTGTAGCATATTTGTTAAGAATTATCTACAAAAACTAGAGCAGTAATAAAAATAATAATAAATACTTTACTTTCCTCCATTGTTAATACATACATAATGTCTTTTATCTGTCTGGTCTTCTTTAACCTGTTCTAAGAGTCAGTCTTTTTTTCAGAAGAATAAATTTTACATTGCTACTCAAGCATATCAGCCATATATCTATGCAGTAACTTGCTCACGTTGCCTCCCTCTATTTTATGTTTCATTTAAGGAATTGCTATCCATGTAGCTATAGAGGAAACAGAAAAAGACTTAAAGACTTCCCATACCTTATATACATTGAAAGGCAACTATCGTTTACAAATATAAGAATTATAACCCTGGTCAACAGAAAAGTTTTGGCACAGTCACTTGATGTCTAATTTAGTTTATGCTGCCTTCAACTCTGTCACTAGATCACAGTGCTGACATTTTGGAGGCCTAGGGGTTTTGAGTACCTGCCCTGCCACAAGACACTGGCTGGATGAAATCCAACACACAATCAGAGCACCTCAACCTACAGGCAATGGAGTTTCTAGTCCACTTGTTTCTGGAGAATGGTTTGGAACCACCATGAAGGGTAGTACAAAGCAATAAATTACTTTTCTTCCCCTTAGGCACCACAACAGTACCTTGGCCTCATTTCTCAGCTTCATTCAGTTTGGAACCTCAGGTCACAAATTTGGGTAGCTGCTCAGGCAGACCAAAGCAAGGGCTGTCAATGAAAAGTTTGAAGGGAAGCTGTGCCCAGTCCTCTATGCCTAGCAAGATAACCTTCACAATCAATCATTCGTGGTTAGTGAGAAGCCATTGGAAGGAAATGGTGCAGCAAGTAACTGAAAACTGTAAGAATACTAAATGTCACCCAGCATGAATCCATATGTATTGCAATGATTCACTCTCAAATATATATAAAAATATTATCTTAAATGGATATTTTTGGTAAAGATGTCAGTGATTATTCTTTTGTATTCAAAGTTCAGGAAATCTGATGTTAAGTAGAAGGAAGTTTCTACGTGCATAAAATAAATTCTTCACAAGTGCTCATGTAAGAAAACTGAACAGTAGTGTCAAGCTAATTTAAAATTATTACTAATGCATCTTTTTATTCATTTTGCTGAAATTGCATAATTGGCTTTCCTAACACAGTTGACTAATTAAGAAAAGTTGTTTTAGGAAAGCCTCTATCCAAACAATGTCAAAGAGAAGACAACCAATATTTTGTGAAGCCAAAAACTAGCAAAGGAATGACAGAAGACTAGCTGGTTTAAACAAACATCTGTAGTTTGGACATGCCTTCTAAATCTTTTCCACAACATGCAATGAGAAGTAGCAATGAATGGTCTATACCTGTGAAGCAAAAGGAAACATAAATAATTCCATGAGCTTAGCATGCTGGTTTTAAGTAGAGGCAGAAGTAACATTGCTGATAACTCTGTACTTAAGTTACATAACTGAGCAAAACTATTACTAATTGTTCTAAACGTGCTTACCCCAGCTTTTAAAAATAATTTATGAGCCTATGTCTTCAGGCGTTCAGGCTGAACATGACCTTTCTAACCTAAATTTCGCAGGACTGTTGAAAGATCCATACACTATATTCTAATGGCCATTATAGTGCACTACAACAATGTTTTGTATTATTGATGCTTTCAGACAGTAGTTCAAGTCACTAGTGCGGGGTGTGAAACAGAGCTAAGGCAGAAGGTACACAGCCTCTCTGAAACTGTAGAAAATTTTTACTAAAAATGATCCCCACCCTTGGGTTTGGACATGTCAAACCAAGTATAGGTGCTGCCAGTGCTACAGGGAAATAGAATTTGATGTTAATGACTTGACTATATCACAGATATTACCTAAGCTGGAAGATTTTTGTCTGAATGCATATCACCCGAAATTACAAAGGGGGATAAATCTGGTAAGTTTGCCTAGGTATATCTTTGTTATTCACTTGCAATACCTATATTTTTCTTTCCTATTACTTTATTTAAATGATCCTGAAAGAACTTATATAAAACACAATAAACCAACAATTAAGTTTTGAGCAAAGCTGCAAAAGCAATAACATCTGTCTTCATTTTATAGACTTTGCAATATAAATGATCTCTTAATAAATTAAAATCTGTTCCTGATAAGCAAAAGGAGTTAGAGTGAAGTCTTTAAAAAGGACTAGTAACTCAAATAATATCCTTTTAAAAGCCACCATAAGCATCATGCATAAGAACATTGATTCATATAAAATATAGCTGTCTATTCCACAATGAAATGGTTAAAGTCATAACAATGATTTGATATTAACATATTCGTAAATTGTTTTAACTTGTAACATTTCAATAACATATCCTAATACAGTTACTGAAAGCATACATAGTGAATACTTCATGTGGCAGCATGAAATGGAGAATAATATGAAGAATATAAAAAATTAAAAGAAAAATCAGATCCTCAAAAGCTTAAGACTTCACAAAGCAAAGCTGTTAGTTACGCTCACTGAATAGCGATAACAACAACAAAACCAACAATAATTATGATGATGATGATGATACAAAGGCAGATTCTCAGATGCAATGCACTATTGCCAGGTCGATTTTCAATTACATTTCACTGATGTATTCATTTGTTTCTTAATGTGCTCATCTTGCCCATTAAGAATAATTAGCAGGCTTGCTCGGTGATTTCCTGGCTTCTGACAATGATTTTTTTTCCCCCGTTTTTGTTGACAACCACTTTTACTTTTTGGAAAGTAATTTTTGGATATTATAGTATGACTGGCATGTAATTTAAGCTTCCTAAGAAATTTAAAGGGAAGATGTAAACAGTAATTTTTAAACAAGATTATTTTAATCTATAATACCTACATAAAAAGCATAATACTAGGCAATAACTATTTCTGAAGAGCAGAATCTAGAAAGAAAACAGTATTTTATCCCACATTAATTTAATTTGGTATGCTAAACAATTGAAAAATACCATCAGCAATATTAAAAATCAGCAGAAATACATAATTTGTAGTCTGGATTTTGGGTCCAAATTGTATTTCCAATTACACTAAAAAGCCCTGCTGATTTCAGTGAGCCTGGCATGGCTGAAACAGATCTAAATTTAGCCTCAACTTCTGTTATACCTAGCCACCATAGCAAAGAATGCAAAAGAAAATTACCATAAGACAGATCATAAAATTACTATTGAAGTCCATAAAACACATTAAATGCAACATAAATTTTATTATGTGTGCTTTTAAGAATACATTCCACCTACACTGTAAAGTTCTTAGTCTGCTGCACTTTGGCACCCTGCTAATATTAAGCCCATTGTAAAATCCAACACAATAAAAGCACTTTGAATGCTGAGCCTTCAGAGCACCAAATGTTAAAAAAGAAAAATAAATTCCTGTTAGAGCCTTCCACCAATTGCTGCTCTGAAAGAGATTCACTGAGTGAATACAGATGAAGACTTCTTGTAAGAATTTTGGAAATAAAAGAAATTTATAAAACATACTGTGAAAAACTAAGGTGTGCTAATTAGATGACATAAACAGTACCTTTTTCAAGAATAGAAGCACTTTAATTTGTTTAGTTTCAAAGACTGAGTGAATATTCTTGGCACTTGTCTATTTTCCTTGCTACAGAAGATTTCTAAATTTCAAAAAATTTCAGTTTATATTCATAGAATCTGCTATGCAAGAGATTCGCTGACTTGATGATTACTGACCTCACCTGAAGCTTTCTGTGGGTAAAATGACCTTCCATTAAATACTTATACCCTCTATAAAACAGCAGTTTGTTTTGTTAGTCTAGTTTTGAAACTTTTTTTTTCCCCCAAAATCTTTTATCTTTATAATGTCACAGAAGACTGGAAGGGCTGATGCTGCTTAAAATATGCAGAATAATGACTGCTTCCTCCTCAAGACATAAGTTTAAGAAACTACAATTTAATAAAATAAGAAACACAACGGAGAAACTTGCATGTTCGGGAAAAATGAGACTTTCATAAGGATTCCTTCAAGTTTTAAAAGATATGATCTAGGATTTGCTGCTTCTTCCGTGAACTTGCTAAAGTATTGTAAGCAACTATAGTTACCTCAGTTACCTCTATCTCAGAAAGTCTTTTAATAGGTAGTAGCTAATGTTACTGCTCTGCAATGTCTCCTGTACAAACAGTTGTCAGCAACTTCAGTTTTTTAAAACCACAATTATTTTTTTTTCACTAAACACTCATTATGTTAGCTTTCAAACACATACAAAACTCAAATCTAAATAATTCTGATGATATGGTGGCCAAAACCTGAAAAACTAGCCCACCTTAAAGTGCAAATGGAAAGATTACTAAGGAACAAAAGCAAATAGATATCTTCCTTTTTCCCCTCTCAATTTCTAAAGGCTATTAGTATTCACTGTATATATCTGCTCTTGTTCTGTGCTGATATTTAATGTGGCCATAAATTATGCTCACTCATTCACTCACTTAGCCAAAGTCCAGTTCAATTTTCTGAACTATGTGTTCACATTAGAAGGGCATAATAGCAATTTATTCTACTATATGAAATATAATAAAATACTTTCTACAAGAGCCAGAGGAGTTTTACAATCTTACATCAAGAGAAATAATCATAAATTGATAATTGATTAAGCACACTAAATGGGTAATTTGTAGGCAGTTTTAACTTAGCAGCGACAATGAAACCATGCATTTAAATATACACTAAAAAAGCTATGACAATATACAAATAGTGGGTACATTATAAGAGGCTAGTATCTTAAGAAAAAAAATAAAACAAACCTAGTTCTTCTGCAAAACGAATACGTGAAGGGGAGCTAATGATTTGATTCACTGCTACACCTCCTGTAATGTGCGGCACACATGCAAGGAATCTTTCAGCACTCAACCATAAGACAAATATTTACTGCTGCACTTGCTTTATACCAACACATACATCTTTAATTAAAGACGAAAATGTGGCATTTATTTGGGGGAAGCTGTAGCTGTGTTCAAGATATTTTACATCTATTTTTTAATTACTTATGTGGGGACTTTTTCTTAATATACCCCATGCTGTCTGTCTTTATATCGATTGTTACTCAGCCAGCAAAAAGGAATGAGCACAACAAACCAGTTTTCTATCTGAATAAGGATACTTTTGATGGCCTTTTCATTTCCATCAGTTAACAGAACTTCTTTGACATCTGCAGAAATAGCAACCTGAAAAAAAGAGCACAGCAAACAATGAGCAAATATGCTTGTCTGTGTGGAAGTGAAGACAGGAGTGACAAGCCTTCAGTATCATGCTTCCTCACCTATTTCTCTGTAACAATCTTCAATCTTTTTTCATTTTATGTCTGCATTATTTTAATCATTCAATCAAATCAGTCAATACTTTTATCATTCCATTTGCGGGAGCCTCTATCTTGCTATCATTCTGTTCCGTAATTGCATTGTGACAGCGGATGATGGTATTCTGAGAGGCTTTCATTTGCGGGCTTCTGTTTATCTAGTAGAGCCATCATACAAGGCTGTCACTCTGCCTTTCAGCTTGCTTCTGTCTGACTGCCTGATGCCCTTCATATAACTTTGCATTGCAGGCAGATGGCTTTGTAAGGGTAATTTTTTTGTGAGCTTTGACATGCTCGCACATTGGGCTGTAACCTCGACACATTGTATAAGAGCGACAGGTTTGTCAAATGCCAATCAGTGTAACAATATGCTTTTATTTGTAGAGACATAAAAACTTGTCTAATGCACTGCACTGCTACATAATATCTCCTGAATACATGACTCAGAACCCAGAGAATGGTGAACGACTCTCCTGAATGGCCAATCTAATTCAAAAGAATCTAATTACTGAGAGCTCTGGATCATGTTTGTTGGTGTAATAATGCAGGCAAAACATTAGCAGCTATATCATGGTGCTCCAACTGTGATTCGCCAGGCTATTCCTGTATCTTAGCAAATGGGACTATAATCTGAAAAAAAAAAAAAAGCAAAAAAAAAAGCTTCGGCTACGGCAATGAAAGACAGACCGTACGTGGCCTGGAATGTCACAACAAGAGATATTGACTACACGGAGGTAAAATGTTTCTGCTCATCGAGGCAACCATAAAATCAATATGATACGAAAGCAAGTCAATCTAGAAGGTCTCTCAAGACTCTGCAGCTTGACCGCAGCTGAGGCTGTTGACAGTTCTCTGACCCAGCAGTTGGAGGCACTGGAACATTTTTCCTTTTGTTTCTTCCTCTGAATGGGATTGGAATTGAGAAAAGACCTACCATGAGCCCAGCCAAGCATGTCATGCCACCCCCTAGCTCACACACAGCAAGGTCCCTGAAAGAGAGAAAGGAAATGGTAGAACCCATACAAATTAGATGAAAATGGTCAGAGAGACATATATGTTACAAGAACAAATTGCCATCTGCAGTAAGAACTGAGCTACCAGGAAGTTGTAGAGACATGACTAGGCTACCTCATGTCGTTTTGCGTTTTAAAAATAATTATGAAATAGAAAAGTCACAAAGCAGGCAAATCAGTGGGGGTTCCCTCATTAGTGTTCAGTGCAACATTACCACCGCTGAGCTGAAAAATCTGAGAAGGTTCCCTTTTTTCCCTTGTCAATGGCTCTGTCTTTTAGAACTAAACTAGCTAGAGTAGCGAAAGATAATTGTTAGGAAAGGATAACAATGTTAATCCACATTCATTCTTGCAAAAACAGTTAGAGAAGTAAATGGGGAAATTAATATTATTTATATATCTCTCCATATAGTTATGCCTAAAAGCCTTTTTATATTAAAAAGGGAGAAACAAGCCATATACCACAAAACAATTCCACATGAAGAAATCCGATCCTTCAATTAGCACTTAAAACTGCAAGTGACCTACAAACAATGCTGTTATGAACATTGATGGGAACAGCAAACAGTTAAGCCACAGAAAACTAAATGAAGTTAGTGTCAAGAGCCTAAACCAAGCCCAAGCAGAGGGCTGAATAGATGGTCTAAAAGGCTGCTTTTAACTTAGACCATACTGCGCTGTTATTAGGACGTGCATGTGAAATATAATTTGGGGCAGAGAGTGTGCCGGATGGGAGCTTGCAGGAGGAGCCACAAAGAATGTCCTCCAGAGCCATGGCCTGCCCCAGGAGGGGAGGAGGGAGGGACGCTGACCCCGCGCCGAAACTGCGTGAAGCAGCGTCCAGGGCAAGGCAGAGATTCAGTTTAGGAACACGCTGCGTTACTGCTAAACTGGCAGCAACTGTTACAGCTGGCAGAAACACTCCCATTGAGGCAATTTTAACAGGCAAAAAATGGAATTTCAGCTACACATTTTTTTTTTTTTTTTTTTTTTTTTCCCTCCAGGTGCGTTTTCTTCTCCCCTAAAACACCCACATTTGAAAATCTATTTTTATGTGCAAGCATTACCTCCCTACTCACTCTACACTGATATTTAGGAAGAGCATCTAGGACACCATATCATTGTACAGATGCTGATATTTTGCTTAGTGAGACCAGAGGAATAGGCTGTATGACTGTATACTAATGCTTGCTGTCTGGATGGGACAGATTTCTTTTTCTTAGACTCCACAAGTATTATCTGAAAAAAAGCCTAGTTGTGCTATTTAATGGAAATGAGACAAAAGACAGACACAGTTTGGAGGAACAAGCTGTACATAAACCCAATGAGAATAAGAAACAGATGTGGGGAATTCACAGCCTGTGGTTTGAATAGAATGATTATAGATTTTTCCTCATTTAAGTTTTTATTTTTCTAGACCCTACATGTCATAGAAATTAAAAGTACATATATATATTTAAAAACATAAAGTTTATAAGGCACTTAATCCTTTATGAGTCATGCTTATTAAAATCAACATAGAAAGTACCCAGTGTGGGTTTTGAGTGCATTTTGAACCAAATTCGTATGTATGTAATATAAGAGCATATAAACACATGCATATATACAAACATATTTATGCATATAAATAACTCATTTCAGTGCAAAGTTCCCTACAATTAAGAAGAGAAACTCTACTTTGAGCATATGGTAAAGGGGGCACAATCCTGAGAGGTCAGGATGTCAAACTGCTGGCTTCCTCCATGGAAGCGTGACCAAATGCTGTCTCCCGAGTACCCAGCTTGCATAGCCAAATTGGGAAAACACCCTTGCAGTGAGCAGCACAGGGAGGTTTGGTGTGAACGGTCTCAGAAGCAGCAGAGCATACATGCACGGGACTGGACGGCAAAGTCCTGCAAGGACACGCTACGGCAGCAAGAGTCACCCAGTGCAGTGCCCAGCAAAACATGAAGGAAGGAGCAGCAGCTACCAGATGAGGTGTGTTAGCTTCCTCCTCGAATGGGGTGGGCTTTGTTCAGGTTGGATGGAGTAGAAATGAGGCTGTAAGTACCAGAGCATGTTTTTGTGCCAAGTCTTTCATTTCAGACAGTCTGAGCAAGCTGCAGGAACCGGCTCGTAGCTGATAGGCTTTCAGCTTTGGTGCTAGGGGTAGAGTCCTACAGCTTGGTCTTCCCTGTTTTACCAGCAACATATGTACACAGACTGAGGGATTTTGTATGCTCCAAGCTGGTTCATTTGGTATTAGCCTTGCACCTTCACTCAGGACAGAATTTGGGCCTGCAAATACATTGTTATAGTGTCTTTTCTCGCACTCCATTCATCCTCTGGACAATGAAACTTCAAGGATTTCCAAGTGCAAGGCTCTCTGTACTCAAGGGGAAAGACAGAAGATGCAGGATGGATTTTATTTTCAGATGTTCCACTTGGAGCCTTGATAACTGACCTCTACAAGTTTAGAAAATGTGAGAAAGACAAAACCAAATAGAAGTGCATGATGTCTCAAAATTGTTTCCCAACACTTAAATACAGGTGCAAATTTCTCCATTGCTGCATGCAGTGATTATTATGCATTTTATCAAGTAATACTTGCTTGCTTTTGCAACAGATGTCAGTGTAAAGAATGCCTTTTATTTTTCCTGACCTTCACAATCAGTACTGATCGATTAGAGCTTCACTTTTGTTTCCCAAAAATCAAAGTGAAATAAAACGCCTTGAGTGGAAATCAAAAGTCTTTGACACATAGCAGAAAGCTTGCTGTGCAATATTAGTACCCAAAGGCAGCTCAAAATTCTTTGTTAAGAGCAACATGCTTTCACCTTGAACATTTTAAATTTAATCTGAAGACTTAAATCATAGCAATCTTTAACATGCAGGTACAATAAAACTAACAAATTCTTTTTAATGTTTAATTCTGTACCTGAATATTTCATTGTGCTTTAGGCAGTAGTAGGCCAGCACTTCTTCAGATGGCCAGAGACCTATAAAACAAAGACATTTGCTATCTTAGAACAGATTAATTTTTTTCTAAAATAATACGAAAATACATATTAGAATTTGCAGACCTCTGTCAAACATTTCATTTTCTAAATATGCCATAATGCTGTGGAATAAAAAAGGAGTAAGACTTTTAATGGAAGACTTCTGGTTTAAGCATTGGAACTGAGTATTTAGTAGATCTCATCCTGACTGCTGAACAGAAATTCACTTTTTAGATACACGCACACTCACATAAACATGTATCTGTAGATAAACATACAACTGTCAAGACTTTAGAAGTTAAATAAAATTTAAATCTATAAATTCAGACATTCGGGCATTCACATGAACATCAAACTGCTTTTATCAGGCCAGAGGTGATGTCCACATTGCCTTGTAATCTGTTTCTAGCAGTGGACAGAAGCCCACTCCTTTTTCATTAGCTGTCCTCTACAGTAGTAATTTCATTCCTTCTGTTTCTTTATATTTAGCTCCTTTCTCTTTGGTTTTGTTAGGTCAGGCATCAGTTTGACTGTAAGGGAGACAGACCAACACTACATGCTAAGGACAAGTACAGGACTAGGGCAATTACACAGCATGATTTCCAGTTGTGGCTCAAGACGTTCCTAAGAAGGAGAGGAGATAGAAGTGATAAATTCTGTTTAACAGTCACCAGAGGACTTGTCTAACTTTTCTGTGGACTGTGGCATACTTTTCATAGCTGCAACACCCCATGGCAGGAAGCACAACAGTTTTCTATGCTATACACAGAAACAGCTCTTCTCTCTTGGTTTGTACTTGCCTCCCTGTCATTTTCACTTGAGACTCTTTATTTCTCGTGTGGGAACAGACAGGAGTAATCACACTTTTTGGACCTAATCTGTATTATTCATGACTTTATAAGCTTCCATCATAAAACTTGCACTAGTTACTGTCAACTTTGGCAAGAACTTGGAGACATCTATGCAAATTTACCCCTTCAACACCATTCACTCATGAAATTCACTGTTTCATCAGAGGAGTTTCCCACCTCACTTAAACATCTAACCAAGGCACCACGGCCCATGGAGAGGGCAGCATGGATCCTGCCTGGCTCACTCACTCTCCTGGAGGCATGAGACTCCATTGCTGGAGGGAGCCTGGGGAAAACAGAGTCACATTCAGGCACTTGAGTTAGGTTCCTAGAGTTAAGCAAGGATGAATCAAAGGCATACGTGGGCACATTACAGCTGTATGTGGTTTCCATCTGTTGTTGCTTAGCAATGAAAAAACATCCTTACACATCTATCCACAGGTAAAAAACAAGGTTATCCTCCCACAATACACAGCATTATGTATTAACATGACAAAAATGTAACATTAGGAACTACAGACACTTCAAAGGTTTCAGTAAACTTAAAAACAGACGTGTGGGAGCATCTTTTAGATATTTCTTGACAGGTCAACTTCATTCCATGCAGCTTACTATGTATGTGCAAAACCCCATCACAACATATTCAATAGACAGAAAAGTTTGGGAGAAGAACTGTTTTCCTTTTCAATCACGTAGAGCCTGATTGTAACCATAAAATATATAATTCTTCCTTTTCATCTGGTAAATATTCTGAAGTACCTTTATTCATAGTGATAATGAAAATTTCTGAATGTGCTGTCTGCACGCAGATCAAGGAAAAGCAGAGACAGGATTTGGCCAAAATTTGTACATAACTTTTGTATTACAAACATCTTAAAGGTAAAAAAAACCCAACAAACTAGAGTGACAATTAATTTGTATGACAAAGCACTAAAGCAATATTGGTGTTTGTTCTCTTTATGACAGTTTAGGCTGATGATGTTTTTGTAAATGTGTTTTTTTGCTTAGACTTGCTAAGGGTTAAAATAAAATATTCACACACGACTACCCATTCTTCAGTGAAACATACACTAAGAATTGCACAGGATTTTCCATCTCCCTTTTGAGCATTTAAATGCTTTCGAGCATTGAAATATGCTAAAATGACAGATTTTGCAATTAATATAATAACTGTTTAAATATTTTAGTGTATAATATAAAGAATGTTTTTGTTTGCAGTGACTGGTGTATACTCAAGCAATTAAAGTGCTTTTTTAATATTTAGTGAAGACATGGCTAATTTAATACGATTTATAATACCTATATCTTGCATAAAAAATCCCACAAACACAAAAAAATTAAACCCTTTTATAGAAAAACTTTTAGCCTGAGCAATTTTTAAAAACACTTGTCAGTTGCAGCAAAACTCTTCAGCATCCGAGTTTTCAGTACCCTCAGTCAAATGTCTCTCACTTTTCTATGGTCATTATTGAAACAGCACTTTGAATGGTGTCACTAAATCTTTATGAGAAGCCATCATTCTCTCCCCAGCTACCATTACAATGTTGATACTGGCTGAAACTGCAGGTGTATTAGATAGAACTGTGCTGACAGAAGGGTAAAGCACCTTTGGAAAGACAATGCTCTTCTTTGGGCAGATGCTAGCAATGGACTCTCCTTCCCGCTCCCTTCCCCCCGTAGGGAAA